CCCCAAAACCCCAAAACCCCAAAACCCCTTGTGATAGATTCTTAAATAATAATGTTAAAAGATTGTCATTGAAAATAATTAATTTCAATTATCTTATTGATAATTACATATTAATAGAATTATTACAAAGGAGATGAGCTTACCAAAAAAAGAATAAATAATGTCTAATTCTTTTGAAGACAAGATGAACTACGTGCATTATGGTTTATTAATGTGGTTCAACGATGCTGCAGGTGAGAGTTCACTACTAACATCACATTTATCACTAGAAATTAACCTAATCAACAAAATTCTCAAAAGTATGATATCAGTATTAAATTATTAGTGATTTTAGAGTTTCACATATCTAAGAGTTTGATTAGTCCAACAAAGATTTCATACTTGAAAAAATCAAAGATATTTGGAATCAAGTGAGATGAAATAAAAGGGTAAGAGAAATGATTTTCTTATTAGACTTGATAGGCCTTTGTATTTTTGTATTTTATTTATTCATATCTTCATGTCATTTTAGGCTTAGCCTGTAAATTACTACGGTCTTTGCCTTTTGTTACTCTATTCTCTGTGAAACATTTTGCATTAAATGGCTTAGACAATTGTCATTGCCATCGAAAGTATGATGAATATTCTGAATGGTGTGGAGATTTTGATTACATCTCCTCTAAAATTATTCTATTTAATTTTCATACCAAGATTCACCAATCATGCAGCAATTTTCCAGTTTATGTAAAAAGATAATTCCTCAAGGTACCTGCTGAGTATCCATGACTATGGCGAATGCCTGTATTACTCTAGGTAGATCTGGCTACTTAATTTATTCTCATGTTTTACTTACCTATCGAAAGACTCTTTATTCAGATTATGTGACAGAAAGAGCATTCACAATGAACCGATAAGTACATATTATCAGATTTAATCTGCTTCCTAAAATTGCTTGATTTTTACTTTCAGACAACTTCGGAAATTGGATTGCTCAATTGTTCATTGTAGTATGGTTAAACTAACAAATTGTCTTGGAAAATTATAGATTTGAGGTGGATGAGTTTGGAGACCTAACACCTGTAAAAGTAGGGTGATTTGGTTTATTGATAATGCTATTAACGTATGGGTAATTGGAATTTCATGGATTGGCATTTCCTAAAAAATGGAGGCGGATACTACAAATTCCACATTTTAATTCCAAGATCTAGATCAGGCTTGAGTAACATCTAGGCCTATCCTTTCGTTAAGGAATACTACAAACATTATTTTGATAAATAGTAAAAAACTCATAATAATTAAATTCTTTAATTTTCTTTAATTTCTATTAAAATTTAGCCAGTATTTTATTATTTTTAAATATCGGGGTTTTGGGGTTTTGGGG